AACTAAAAATACCTCACTTTTTGCTTTCTACCACTACTTCTACTAACTAAAGCTCTCTTCTCTCTAACTCTTTTAATCTTGAAATACAATGTGTATATATATAGAAGTTAGAATGAACAAAAATTTTCAATGAAATAACATAAAGCTTCTTCACAAACTTCTAGGGTTTCTTGGGCAATTACAGTCGAAATTTCAGTTGAGAAATGAGTTGTAAAAGTTGTGAAAAAATAGAGCAAGTAGCTATGCAAGTTGCACACCCACCGTAAGAATACATGGGGTCAATATGCGTGCATGGGTCACATATTACATATCCCCGTATTTTTTGTTTCCCCTATATCTTCTTTGTCTTTTTCTGCTCAACACAATACCTAGGGGGAGGAGGTGAATACGAGGGCAACCCTCGCGTTTTGGTTGGTTTTTTCTACCCAAAAATGCTGATCTTGTTTGTTTTGTTATTTCCAAACCATCTTCGAATCCCGTCTAATGTTATTGCATGAATTCCAATTGATCCAAAGTAACCATGAATTACCAAATCCTACAAATGTGTAAAGTTTTGCACATTAAACTGCTCAAATGCAAGTTTTGGTTATAAAATGGAACTTATGTAAATAGTAGCTTAAAAGAGCAATTTTCATCCTTAAAACCTTAAAAACATTCCAAAACCAAATAAACACATTTAGGAACATGTAAATAAAATACTTATCAAAATTTATTATTTCGTTTCATTATAATTAGACAATTCAAAATCAAACACTCATTTTTTACAATCACATTCACGTGCTCATTATTTGGCCATCCTTTTCTTCTTGTTCCTCTAATGGATTTTTCTTACTAGGATCTTTTCTCTACCTTTTTTTTAAAAATTGATCTTTTTTTTTTATTTTTTAGTAGGGAAAGGATAGGATTTAAGAAGTGGGAGTGAAGGAGGATATTTAAATAGTAAAATATCCCAAAAAGTTGAACTACAAAGAATTGTATATGTATATGTATTGTCTTCATGATTCAGCAGGAGTGAGTGGTGAGCATCATTAACTGAGTGTCTGTAACTCAAATCAAGTTTCTTATATTTTTCTTGTACATAATAAGTTGAACACATTTATATTAGGAATGATGAATATGAGGCCATTAAATTGGAGACCAAGTTTTACAGTCATTGAACGAAATTTAAGAATGTATCCTAGGTTTTAAGAGCATGAAATTTTATTTTTAATGTTCCAGAGCAATGTTGAATTACCTATGTATCTCCAAATTCTCTACTTTTTCTTTTAGCGGTTGTTGGAATTTTAGAGTAACTTAATTAACTTTTTTTGGATATTCGATTTTACCCTTATTAATTGATTATTGAAGTTTCATATTATACTCTATTTAATTTTTTATGATGATTGTTGTGATCTTAGTTTTTATTAATCTAATTATGCACTTATTAAATTGATGATTGATGTTTCATATTTTGCTCTTTTTAGTTTTTAATTTATTATGATGATTAAAATTCATTACATCATAGCTATTGATTTAAAGGAAAATAATTGTTGATGACAAGATAAAATGTTAAGAGAGACTAAGCAGTATCTGGTCTTTGTTTTCTATTCGTCCAAAATACCATTCTTCCTAATAATTAGATTTATTGCATTTCAATAATAGTAATAACTGTAGTAGTTACTAAAAAAATATAACCTTAATTAAATTTGAATTATGAAGATAATAAACAAAATATAATACTCCAAATCAATGTGTCTTTTTGCATTCTATTTTCAGTTTTTTATTTTCAGTAAAAATTCTTGATTAGTCACAGCTTAATTAAATTTTTAAATCTTCAAAAATATATATTACTATTGATACCAAAAGAAGGTGCTCTGAGGATAATAGAATCTTTGACATTTATGCTTTATGCTAGATTTTGTCCAAAAAATTAGAAGATGAAAAAACAAAAGAAAAAAAAAAGAAAAACTCAATTATCTCTGCCAATAAAATTTCAGCTCCCAAAAAATGAATAGTTAGACAAAAAAAAAATTATATGTGGTGGATGATTTATGCTCCATTGTTAATAGAAATAGCACACAAAATAATACAAAGAGTTCTCATTTTTACAAAAAATGGTGCACATAACTTCATATTGAGGAAGCATTACTATATAAAAAGTATTATGAGTCTTGGTACTTTAGAGTGTAAATGTATGCATTATTGTGGTCTTAGTTTTTGTTATTTCAATTATGCCCTTATTAATTGATGATTGAAGTTTCATATTATACTCTTTTAAATTTATTGTGATGATTAAAATTCATTATATAATATCTATTGATTTAGGAGAAAATAATGGTTCATTATTATTATTATTACTATATAAAAAGTAACATGAATTTGGCACTTTGGAGTGTAACTATAAGCATTATTGTGATCTTAGCTTTTATTAATCCAATTATGCCCTTATAAATTGATGATTGAAGTTTTATATTATGTACATTTTAGTTTTTAATTTGTTATGATGATTAAAATTCATTATGCCATAGCTGTTGATTTAAGGCAAAATAATGGTTGAAGACAAGATAAAATGTTAAGCATTAGAGACTAAATAGGATCTGGTCTTTATTTTCTATTTGCCCAAAATACCTTTCTTCCTCATAATTAGATTTATTGCATTTCAATAATAACAATAAATATAGCAGTTTCGAAAAAAGATTGCAACCTTAATTAAATTTGAATTATTAAGATAATAAACAAAATATAACACTCCAAACTATTGCGTTGCTTTGCATTCTATTTTCACTTTTTCATTTCCATTATAAATTCTTAATTAGTCATAGCCTAATTAAATTTTCAAATCTTCAAAAATATTACTATTGATACAAAAACAAGGTGCTCTTAAAATAACAGAATCTTTGTCGGTTGTGCTTTATGTTGGATTCTATCTAAAAAATTCAAAAAGAAAAGAAAAGAAAAACTAATTATCTCTACCAATAAAATTTTAATTATCAAGAAATGAACAATTAGACAGAAAAAATTTATATGTGGTGGAACATTTACACACCATTGTTAGCAAAAATAGTACACAAAATAATACAAAGAGTTCAATTTCAAAGAATACATATCTCTTCAATTTTCAATGAATACTGCATATGATTTCATATTGAGGAATTTCATCAGGCAATTGACAAATTCAACTTATGTAACATGAAAAATAATAATCGTAGTGCATGCAACTGGTATTTTTGTAAACAATTATTTTTGATTTTATTTTATTTCAGTTTTAGCCTCCCATCCCTCCCTACACTCTTTTTCATCCCTAGTTGTTAGGTATAGGATTCGAATCCTGAACCTGACATTAGAGAAAACTCTAAAAACTCTCTTTTGATCATTAGGTCAACCCCAATGGTTGGAAAACAATTAACATTTGGTTAGTGTGCAAATTCAGGTCATCCTAACTCCAACGAAAAATAAAAAAAATGTTATATCTAATTAAAAATAAAAAAATTTAGCTGTATTATCATAATTTATTTGTCTTGGAAAAAAGAAAAACCAAAAGAAATAATTATTATTATCAATATTGTACATTCCATTCAAAATATTGATATTTTTGTCAAATCATTTCATATTTGGTCAAATCTTTATTTTCTTAAATGTTAATTTTTCATCTTCTTTACTTAATTGTCCTTAAAACCGTTATTATAAATTGAAAGAGACCAAATGTATCCTCATCTGTTAAAATTTCTCTAGAGACTTTATTTGATTTGATACAACATTTAGTGAACCTTTTTTTCCTTTTAAAATAATGGTTTTAAGGACAATTAATTAAAGAAGGTAAATTAAATAAAAAAGAAAATAGGGAGAGAGTTGGGTTGGGTGGTAAGATGGAAGGGATTATAAGTAGAAGGTCCTAGATTCAAAACCTCCTACTTATTAAAAAAAAAAACAAAGTAAAAAAGAAATAGAAAAATATGCAAATATTAAATTTGTTTAAAAATTTTCACAAAAAAAATTTAATGCATACAAAATATTATATTTGATGATATTATAATCATGTACAAAGCACGTGACACCAGTTAAAATGGCAATATGGTTGTGCCAACCTTTTAACTTATGGAACCTCACTAATTATATTGATGATAATGATACCGTAGACGTCTGCCATCTCTTCAGCTTGTGAAACACCGTGTAATCGTGCCCTCAAAATTATGAAACCTTTCCATCCATGGCAGAAATGCTCCTCAAAATAATTCAACTTTATCATAAGACATCATGGCATAGTACTTCCCTCCCTATAACTTGCATCGCACTATATATTATGCCCTCTCTATGACTTATGGAATATTCCTGCCACTGCTCATCGTGTAGATATGAACAACATCAAGAATATAGAAATGCGGACGTGAAGGATTAGAATTTTTTTTTTATTTCAATAATGACTGCTACCTGATATTGGTTTTTAAATGCATTTGAGCAAAAAGCTGAACCCATATGCATCAATGTTTGAATTATTTTGTAGGCCCATCCACATGACCTACTTGAGACTATCTTATTGACAAAATTTAGGCACAGAAAAAGGTAGTTGGTAGGATCGAAATCTGAAAAAGGTCATGTTCATAAGAAAACAAGCACAAGTGTTAAAAATGTTGGATCCGCTTACCCTTTCAAAAGATTTTGGCTAAAGTGTTCTCTTTCTTACCTAATCAGAATATTCAATAATGCTCAGTTCAACTCTCGTGTCTCATTGGTTCTCGGCAATCACCTCAATTTCAATTTAAAAAGATGAGATTGAGTTTGAAATACAAACGAAACTTGTATTTGTCTAATGAAAATGTGATTTGCATATTTTAAGTGCATCGTGATTGTCCAAGAATACATCTCAAGTTGTCACCTACAACCTTACATGTGCAGCACGCCTCCCCATTTCTCAACATTGAATTGTTCATCCTTTGGAAGCCAGAGAAGAGTTCATAAAAGATCCTTCTCAGGCTTCTACTCTCTGCTCCCCAATCTCAATCTGTCCTTACCAAATAGTATTTATGGACAAAATTGAACTAGTGATGGTCATGGCGCCAATGATGGGGCACTTAATACCAGCCATCGAGCTAGCTAAGATAATGCTTCAAAAGGCAAATTGTCTATCAATCTCATTCCTCATGATGAATTCAACATTGGACCCCGAATGCACGGCCAAAATCGAGTCTCTGACTGCCTCATGCAAATTTGATCGCCTTCATTTCCGTCACCTTCCGATGCCAGACATCTCTCAGTGGAATATTCCACATCAGGGAATCTACCTTCATCAACTCACAGAGTTTCACAAGTCTAATGTACGAGAAACAGTCTCCAAAATCAAAGGTTTTGCAGGGATTATTGTTGACATGATAAACACGCCAATGATGGATATAGCTGACGAGCTCAGTGTTCCTAGCTACATCCTTTTCACTTGTAGTGCGGCCTGTCTTGGCGTTATGCTCCATTTCCAAGCGCTCGAAGATGAGCAAACTATAAAAACATGTCATTTACTCCAGAGAGAAACTAAATTGGTCATTCCTAGTTTTACCAACGAAGTTCCAATTAGTGTACTCCCAATATTTACAACTATCGAGGGAACTTGGTCAGGCAGGTTCTTGAATCATACTCGCAATTATAGAAGAGCAAAGGGCATCATTATCAACACTTTTGCTGATTTTGAATCTCATGCTATTGATTCTTTGTCAATGAAACATTCTTACGGTACAACAGGAGTGCCAACCACCTATCCTGTGGGATTAATCCTGAATAGATCTCAAATCCAGGCAGAATCTACTAAAGGCCATTTAGAATTGATGAATTGGCTTGATGATCAGCCAGCAAAGTCGGTGCTTTTCATCTGTTTTGGTAGTACGGGAAGTTTCAAATTAGATCAAGTGAAAGAAATAGCACTGGGACTCGAAAAAAGTGGCTATCGGTTTATTTGGGTTCTTAGGCGGCCTCCGGCTATAAAAGGAGGATTTGCAGGGGAATTTGAGAATCATGGACCTCTTCTGCCAGAAGGATTCTTGAATCGAACAGCTTCGATTGGAAAAGTTGTCGGCTGGGTTCCACAATTGGCTATTTTGTCACACCCGGCTGTGGGCGGATTTGTCTCGCACTGTGGTTGGAATTCAACGTTGGAGAGTATTTGGTGTGGTGTGCCAATTGCTACATGGCCGTTGCTTGGAGATCAACAATTGAATGCCTTCCAATTGGTGAAAGAGTTAGGAATAGCTGTGGAAATTAGTTTGGATTACAACGAAGCCAATGAGCATCAACCATTGGTGAAAGCAGGACAAATAGAGAAAGGAATAAGGGAAGTGATGGATGGTGAGAACGAAGTCCGGAAAAGGGTGAAAGAGCTTAGTGAGAAAAGTAGGCAGGCTATGAAGGAAGGTGGATCATCTCATGTGACCTTTGAGAATCTCATACATACTATCTGCAGCAGCCTTCCTAAGTCTGGTGTTTGAATTGATAAACTTGGAGATTTGAAGGGTGAAACTTGTGAGCTGAACTGAAATGTTAATTTGCTCTATTTTGTAGAGTTACATGTGTTTGATTAAAACTGTCAACAAACGGTAGGGGTCTGCTGAAATCCCCACCACAGCAGGTGGATTTCTTTGTTGCTCCCTATTTCTGTTCTTGCTGTCTCAGTTTCAATGGAAAAGTTCTGGCTCTTTCCTGTTCATATAAAGGGAACCTCTACCTTAAAAACGACAGTGACGAACAATTAAATGGGACCTCAACTTTTTTTCTTCTTTTTTAGCATTATCACTAAATTACTTCAGTGCTTGGTTTCAAAATGTAACGTGTTGGTTTTAATTTCAGCGCTTGGTTTTTGTAGCTGAAGATAAACTGTAGGTAGCATATGAGAAAGTAAGATATGGACCCTATTCATGTTAATCAAGTCAAAAGCAGGTTGCACATATTTTAACAGGTTGTGGCACCAATATGGTATTTCATAAGTGCCCTACCGTTGGTGCCCTCCCGGTCTAATGGTGACTTCATGACTAGGATTGAGTTTCAAAGCAAATGATCTATCAATTTCAATCCTAGTAATGAAGTCGCCATTGGAGCCCGATAGCACGGCCAAAGTCGAGTCTCTGAGCACCTCGTGCAAAGACAATCGCCACCATTTCTGTGACCTTCCGACGCCAGACCTCTCTCATCGGAATATTCCACGTCGAGGGATCGACCTTAACTCGCAGAGTTTCACATGTCTGATGTACGAGAAACAGTCTCTAAGATCAAAAGTTTTGCAGGGATTATTGTGGACATGATAAACACATAAATGATGGACGTAGCTGACGAACTTGGTGTTCATTGCTACATTTTTTTTTTAAACTTCTATATGTTTAAGTGTGCCAATCATGCTACTCATGTTTATGGTTTTCTAAGTTTGATTTGTAGGGAGAGTTTTGGTGGATGAAATGACAATCAACTCAATTGAAAATTATAATGGGTCTAAATTCTGAATCATTCTCATGGCTACTCAAGGTCTACACCAAGGGGTAGCTCTAGACTTCAATTTTTAGAGTATGATTTTTTTATTCGTCCTTGCTAATTTGTAAGAGCTTATTGTGATGATTATCGTATAAATATACTGGATGGTCCCATTGGAAAGGAAGCTCCAGCTAGAGAGAATATCAAGAGGACAAGTAAATTGCTGAATGCAAATAATGAGGAAGTTTTTGTTTTTGTTTTTTTTAAAAGAAAAAAAAAACCCATCCTGGGATGGGCTTATTGTATTGTTTTTGTTCCTTTTCCATTGATTTGTTCGCCACAGTGAATAAGTGCAAAAGCCTCTTCAGTGAATATTGTAAAGTGTAAACAATAGGACAAATGCTACCTTCTTTTTTTGTTCAATATATATTGTTAGTCTAATTACCTATTACTCATAGGAGTGGCAATTCTCGACACGATTCGAAAGCAAAGCTCAAATCTAACACTAGATTAGTGAGTATAGCCCACAAAGCAAACAAATCCAAATCAGATCAAACATGGGTTGACTTGTTCGACCCGACTAACGCGTTTAGTGTGTTAAGTTTGACCCTAAATCCGATTAACTCATTTAATGTGTAAGTTTATAATATACTAAATAAATTGGAAGCATACATTAAATAAAAAACTAACCAAGGCTATTAATCAGTATTACAAGAATAGAATCATGAGTATTATGCAAAATCAAGATATTTTATTTGTGAAAGTATCATAGTTTTGTTTTCATCCATGATCTTTTTTATTAAAAAAGGAAACAAAAAAATTACTATAAGTACCTTATACGAAATCTAGGATTGGGTAGCAACTTTCTATATTTTTATGGAAACTCCATTATAGAAAAGTTCATCATACCACAAGGTGAGAAAGGTCCAAAAAAAAAAAAAACAAGCTAAGCAAACATGTTATTTAGATCCGAATAGAGCAATTTGCAAAATTAGCCAGTCGTGTTCGGGTCAGGAGAGTTGACTCATTTAATTTTCGAATTGCGTTCGAGTTGACTGGTTGTCCAGAACATATGGGTATCAACCTGACTCGTTATCCTATGTTCGAACCTGATTCTCATCCCCTATAAATTACTCATTATTTTAATCATTTTTTTATTTTATCTTGAAACCATAATTCACCGATTCCCATCCCCTATAAATTACTCATTATTCTAATCATCTTTTATTTTATCTTGAAACCATGGACCTGTTTGGAATCCGAGTTTTTTACCAAATTTCTTAGCTACTAGTTTTTTAACAATTTTAGTTACAGGAATCCAAAAAAATTTATCAAATATTTTAACCTACACATTTCAAAATATCAAATACACAAAAAACTTCCTCTTTTCTTCTTCTTTCTCCCCCACCCCGATCCACCACACCTTTATCGCCGGCCACTATCTCCACCGCTGATTCCGGCGCCGGTCACCTATTCCAGCGCCGGCCTTCCTTTTTTTTTTCTTTTCAAACAAAGTGGTCTTCTCCAGAGCCTTACCAACGACTATGGCCCCACCTTTTACTACCATTCCTCCCGCTCCTCCTTCTCCTCCTCCAACGACAGCGACGGCGACTAAGTACTACTTCACAACCATTTCCAACAATGGTGGTGTTTCAACCCCACCCTCATTTTCGACTCAGGAGGGCCAACTCACCAAACCTCGCTCGAGTCAACTCGCTCCCAACTCACCATTCCGTTCCTCCGAGCAGAAGAGGAGAAGAATAACTAACAGCAACAACGAGCATGGAAACGGTGACGGCCGTAGTAAAAACAAGTTGAAAGCCACCAGAGGTGGCCACCGTGTGCGGCTGCCAGTGCCCTGCGCCGCCTGTATCTTCCAGCGAGCTCGGCCATCGCACAAACGGCCAGACGGTGGAGTGGCTGCTTCGAAATGTTCACCTTCCGTCCACCTCGGAAACCTCTTCCACTGTCATTGCCTCTAATAGTTCTCCGACTACTGCCTGGTCTCAATTCCCGAAGCAGGAACCCTATGAGATATTTCCGGCGGAGGGAGAGGGACTGTTTGACATGATGTCGTTTACATCGCTATTGATGCAAGCAGCTAGTTCTCTGGCTTCGGGAAGGAGAGGGGGAGGGTGAAAGGGAGTAGAGGGAGAGAGGGAGAGGGAGAGGGAGAAGAGGGGAAGAGAAAAGGAAAAAAAAATTTGGGACCATGGCTGTTGGTTCTTCAATGCTGGAGGCAGAGGTGGCGAGGGAGGGAAGGGGGAGGGGGAAGGAAGAAGAAGAGAGGAAAGAAAGAGAAAAAGAAAGAAAAGAAAAGAAAATTTTTGAACCTTCTACTGATTCTTCAATGTCGGAGGCAGAGGTGACGGGGGAGGGAAGGGGGAGGGGAAAGAAGAAAAAAAAGAAGAAAAGAGGAAAGAAAAGAAAAAGGAAAGAAAGAAAAAGAAAAAAAAAAGAAAAGGAAAAAAAATTTTCATCTTAAAAAATTTTTTCAAAAACTTTTACAGTGCACTACAGTAAAGTTTTAGACAAACTTTCAAAAAAAACTCAGGTTCCAAATGGGGCCCATAATTCACGAGAAAAATTACTACAGAGGTGCCTATTCCCACTATGCAGGCCTTAACCCTTAGGACTGGTTTACAACTTTTGGGCCTCACAGCAATAGCAACACATCTAAGAAAGCGATCAATGAGTAGTTAAGTTACTTTTTTTTAATACAAAGGAGAGGCAAACTGCCTTTTAACATTGTACTAGGCGTGCGGTTGTAACCCCAATTATATCAGCTCCTAACATTTCCCTTAGTCCTGTCGGTGGTTCTTCCATTGGTTCACCTGGTAGCTGTAGCTGGATTGCTTCCTTTGCCAGCCAGTCTGCGCATCTATTTCCTTCCCTCCAGATATGTTGCAACTTGCATGACCATTCCCTGCCCCTCATGCTTCTAATCTACTTAATCAGGTTATGGTAAGGCGATGTGGCCACTGCATCTTCTATCAACTCCAATCCTACTTTTGAATCCGACTCTATGATTACATCTCTGTAGCCTTTCCCCCAAGCCAACTGCATCCCTTTAAGAATTCCCCATAGCTCAGCTGCTATATTGCTTGCTTTCCCTACACTCTCTGCAAAATCTCCTAACCATATCCCTGTCTCACCCCTAATGAGCCCTTCTATTCTTGCTCTTCCAGGATTCCTTTCCGAGGCGCCATCCACATTGACTTTGACAACACTTTCAGGTGGCGGAATCCATCGTATAAGACACTCTTGTTTGGGGACTCTGCCTCTCCCATTAAAGAGTAGTTGCTTTGCCTGTTCTGCCATTTGCCTCAAAGCCGCTGGAGGGACCTTAAGGAGGAGATTCTCATCTTCAATAGCATATTTGTTTCTAGCCCTCCAAACGTGGTATACCATTATTTGGAAAGTCAGCTGCCACGTCTCTCTCTCTCCCCAGCTCCTATACCATCTTGCGTTAGGTTCTAGTCTACCCAATTCATTGTGTTTTTGCAGAAAAAATCCTCCCAGGAATGTGGGAACACCAATCTCTTCCAAATGGGCTTTATCCAGGTACAGTCCCTAAGTGCATGAAGTGTAGTTTCAGCAGGCTCTCTGCATATTGGGCATTTATCATCCAAAGCCAGATCTCTTCGTTTCTTCTCTCGTTGTGTGAGTAGTCTGCCATGTCTAACCAGCCACATCAGGAATTGCCACCTCTCTGGACCTTCCTGTTTCCAAATCCTCTCCCACCCTTTACTTCTCGAATCCAATTCTTCCTTTTCTAGTATGAGTTCTTATGTTGAAGCTGACGTGAAGTCCCCTCTTGTTTCTGGGCTCCAAACCGTTACATCTGGATTGTCCTCGCCTTGTTCCACACAATAGCCTTTAAGTTTGGCTAGAGTTTCTTGTGTTAGCACCCCTTCCAGCTCTTCCCATTTCCATCCTACTCCTGTCCTCCAGTACTCCTCTACCTTCCTTTCCAACTCCTCTGGTTTCAACTCCACTTCAATTTCTTCAAGTAGTGGTGTGTCTGTCAA